CCTTAAGGCTTCACCCATACCCTGCTGGAGACACAGAACCTTTCTATTGACTTCAATGAGCCTTTAATCAGCCCTTCACATTCACATGTCTGTAATAAAAAACATCCTTTTTCCAATGAATCCTACAACAGTTTGAAATAAGTATTAATATTACTTATTAAGTATTAATATTACTTATTGATTCTGGTACACAGGTGGAGAAGAAAAATCCAACAGTTCTGTGTTGGCAAAAAATGAGTCTGAGAGATGGAAGTCACAATGAAAACACAACCTGACACCACTGTGTGCATGTGTGGGAGGGGGGATCATGCTGTATCAACAAGCTAAGACAATGGCACTGAAATCTGCTGGAAGAAAAGGGGCTGTGAGTGGAAATGGAAGAGTAGCATTGAATTCCAGGTTTGACAAATGAATTTTGTAGAGCTAGTTCACAAATCCTTTCCCCCCCCTGTAATTTAAGTCTTTCCCCTCCCTAGGCAAGTTCAGTTAAGACGGGCAGAGAGAGATACGACAAATGGAAAATCCGTGCTACCCATTTGAAGTAGAAGATATTTCTTCCCTATTAAATTCTGCTGCTTACAGACACAAGGAAAAGAAAAACAAACAGTGCTTTACTTCCAGCTTGGCATTCTCCTGCACCAAGAGCAGCGCATGCACAGAAGAGGCATCGTGTTAATTTGACCTGGCTCACCCAGTGTCTGTATAGATCAAGCACTTCAGCAGGGATGTTTATGCTTTTATGTAACAGTTGATTCAATCAGCTATTACATAAAAGCACGAAAAAGCCCTGCTGAAGTACGCAATCTATATAGATGTTGGGCAAGCCAGGTCAAATAATGCAATGCCTCTTCTGTGCATGCACTGCACTCAATGCAGAGGCATGCCAAACTGAAAGTAAAGCACTGCTCCTCCCCCTCCCCCCCCACCACTCCCCAAGTCTGAAAGCAGAGTATATAGCAATTTTGCACTAAAATGTGTCAATCGGTCTGTTTCTTTATCAGTCTTTTTCTAGTGTGCATATTGGCTCCTCATCACCCATTTTCTCCAAACAAACTTTACTCTTTCTTTGTTCTTGGAGATTAATAACACCCCGCAGCCAGTGTCCTTTCAGTGCCCCTTCAAAGCAGAACATAAATTAAGAGTTCACGTCAAACTTCCAAACCTCCTATACCAAAATGAGAAAAGACTATCTGGCTTACCCCCAGTTACAAATGTTTGTTTCATTCTCAAACCTAACAGTTTGTAACAAATGTTGCACCAGAGTGTTAAAAAGCACCAAATGGTTTTTAAAAGGCGACTGCAATTACAACCTGATACAAATATAGGACTGGATGCAATCTGTTCCTCACAGAGCTACATCTGCTGTTGAAGTTTATAGCTAGGTGGGGAACAGAATGCATAAGCAGCACAGAGCTACACCTACTATCCGCCACCTGCGAGTTGCACTGCCACTCCCTAAATCAGGGGCGGGCAATTATTTTGGGCAGAGGGCCACTTACTGAGTTTTGGCAAGCCATCAAGGGCCGCATGACAGGCAGCCCAGGGCAGATGAATATTAATTTTCTAAATGTTTTAAGGGCCCCGTGGGCCAGATAGAATGGCCTGGCAGGCCGCGTCTTGCCCACCCCTACTCTAAATTAAGAAGGGGGAAGCCTTGAAACACACAGAATGACAAAAATCAAAGCTACCAGAATAAACCACTCTTAAAAAAAAAAAAGTCATATCCCCCCACAATCCAAAAAAAAATAAATGGGGGGAGGGCATAACTGAAAATTCTTGGAGTACTTCAAATTTTGAGAGTATTTTAATTACCAGGTCTTCTTCCTTTTTTCCCTTTTTCTTTAAACTGGACTATTAATTTACATCAGACATGTTTTCTCCTAAATAACCAGTTTGCTTAAATGTGCAGCCATGGAAAGTAGCATAACAAAGGGTGGGGAACAGGATGAGCCCCAGATGCTGCCTTAGCAGGGGACACTGAAATGGAGCTGGGGACACCTCACCTTCTTCCTATATCTTTCCTTTCTCCCTCCCCCCTGAATCTTCCCTCTAGCAGCTTTATGTCCAGCTCCAGAGTAGCAGCAATGGTGTATGGGGCAGGAGCAGCAGCTAGAGACTAGTTTCTGTGAAGGGGAAATGTCACTTTTTTTTTTTAAACCAAAAACCATCATTTAAATGGCTGCTCAACACACAGCAGTGGCAAAAAAAGATATGACAACTCCGCCACCCCACAGCAGCAAACCTCCTGCCACTACTCTGCTCTGTCACTACTGGTGGCACAGTACTGAGTAGTTACATCTCTGGCCATGGAAACCTACAGTTAAAAGCATACTGTATTCTATTACAGTAAGTTTACAAATTCAGTAATCTGCAAATTCAGGCTGAAAAATGGAACCCTTCTGTGACTGTGTGTCCTTTCAATAATCTAAATATGCTAGGTCATGTGGCACTGTGTAAACAAAGAGCACATCTAAATTTCCCCCTTAAAAGTAGCTGGCCAATTTTGTATCTCAGAAATTCTTCCAATTCCAATAGTTAATCCCTCTACCCAGAAGTCTAGAAAATATCCATATTGCAAAGGATCCTCTTTAATCCAGTATAGTAATATCCCTGCCATCCTCCTCTCTCTTCCTGCTCATAGTATTAGTTGATGCTGAAGTGAACTATGTACATGTGCAGAGAGAATAATTAACGGCATGGTTCTTAAACATAACTGAATGCCTTTGTTAAAAGGGTAAGAGAAAAATTCAGCAGCTTTAATCTTGCAGTCCTTAGGACATGCTTAATGGCCAGTGAATTCACCAAGAGTCCATGAAAGTAAAAACAACAGGATTGGGAACATATTCAAATTATTCTTCTTAGAAAGCAAACTAGATGGATGACTTTCCTTCTCCTTGCAACTAACCACCAGAGACGTTTTCAAAACAATAAACATGTTTTGTTAGTTTTAACTTGGAGTTGAAACCCCATACTACTATGCCATCCCTTACATAGTTGTGTAAATGTGGTGTCACTAAGCTCATCAACTGTCAACTTTAACATTTCAGAGCAATGACACTTCTCTATATGTGATTTTTTTCTACCACTTCACTTTCATAATAGTCTCAAATTCACCATCTGCTTCAGGGCACCTACTACGTCCCCAAGCATTTACTGAGCTTAGTTAAAACACCAGTCAACCTTATCCACTAATAGAGAGAGCAGACAGCAACTTCCAGTCATGTATGCCAAGTTTTCATTCAAGCATGCAGTGGAGACAGATAAACTGCAGAGTGATTTTACAGTTGAAAGGATGCCCAGCATACATAGACATTGCAATGGCTGCACCAACTTAATAATTCAACTTAGCAGCATTGTGTCTGCACAAACAGCTGTTATTGTTCAGAGTTGGTTTCATTAAGAAATCCCACCTGCATCTGTCTTTCAAATTTGTCACTGCAATCTTACCTTTCTTGGAAAATGTTTGGGTAACAGGCAGAACTGACTCGGACCCTAAGAAACAGGTCAAGATCAGGGAAACTATGTTTACATGCATACACAAAAGGAATTACTGATTTTTCAGGCACTGCCAGCACCTTGACACTGAAATGGGCAAAATTAGCAGACGCACAAAATCACATTATGTGCTGTGTTTCTAAGCTGTATTCCTAGCATGTGTTGATCATTATGATAAATAATGACAAAGTGCTAAGAGGAAAGAAAAAACTGAATACAGCATCGTTTCTTAATTATGTCAGTATGGCAAAAAAAAAAAAAAATCACAAAAGTATTAAGGGACAGATAAAATTCCTTGTTTTGTCAATCTTTATACATATAGGATTTGAAAACCCCACAAGAAATCAAACATAGTTGGGTATTATGGCAAACAATATCTACTAAAATATTTTAGCCATCAAGACCAGGCAGCCTATTTGTCATTTACACTACGGTCCTTTTACATCATTTTGGCTGAGTAAAGGGGCCTTAGCACAAGTAAGATGTGGACTGATTCTAGAGAGTGCAGCATATGTGTAGTTAATGGAAATAGGGTCTCTCCAGATGTTAGACATGAACTTATATTTGAGACTTATTTTTTTTTCAAGTTTGGAATACTTTTAATACTACTGGCATGACAATATAATACTACTAGCATGATAATTCAGATAATTTTAGGCTCTTTTCTAACGATATAGGAGAATGTTGCACTGTGACTCAAAGGGGAAACCAAAAATATGCTGAATAAATGCTAGAAATGACAAAGGTTAGACAAGTATGTAGGAGGCTCTGAACAATGCCCTAGAACAAGCCAGCTTTTGCACACAGAGTAACTAATCATAGGTTTACAGAGGAGACTATGCAGGTGTTTATCATTTAAAATAGTCAACAATAACCAACCAACATTTGCATCTCAGTTTCACAGCAGTAAAAAACATGGTACTTAGAAAACTTCTCACTAGTTAACAAGATGGGAGTTGAGGGACTTAAATCTTAAAATTATTTAAAACAAAAGAAAGACATCAAGTATGGTTTGTTTACAGGGTGCAAGTTAGCTCTGAACAATTTAGACTCCATACCCAAAGCTGTATAGCTGCATTGGCATGCTAACATAGCTATACTGCTTCTGGGATCCAAGCCAGAAAGCTGGATCATAGCACTTTGTTGTGAGAAATGCCCACATTTCCAAACTAGACAGGCCTGCAACCTCTAGCGTCCCTTTTCCACCCACTCAACCACACTAATTCTTCCATATCTCCCATTTGCCTCCTCTCCTTTCTACCCATGACCGCCCATTCTCTACCCTGTCGCTTTCTTGAATCAAGTTTTTGTTCTTCCACCTCCCAACTCTCATTTTCCATCTCTTATGTCCTATACATTAACCATCTAATTTTTGGTGTTCTTCTAGTCCCTATCTTCTTCTACTGAAGCCCCTCCATTTGGTCACAACTGTCTATAAGGATGCCTTTGCTCCTCAAACATCAGGACATACGTGCTAGCTAGAAAGTAACTTAAAGGAAGCTTACCTTTCCGAAGTCTCGCACATCAAATAAATCAAATGCCTCAAAAAGTTCACTTTTCTTCATCCCAAATATCTCACAGCATGCTGAAAGGAAGGTCCTTATATTCTTCAAGCAGAGAAACTAGAGGAGGAGGGAAAAAAGCACTGTAAGTTTGCAGTTAACACTGTGGTATACTTTGGTTGTTCATCCTTATTTTAACAGTAACATAGCTATATAATTAAAAACAGTTAGCATTGCCATTAAATTATGATTTTCAACTGGTTTTTAATTCAGACTAAACCGTGATAGCTGAAGTCTAAGCAAAGAAATTTGGTTACGCCTAATTTGCTTCAGTTCATTTTATGTTTCCAAAGAGAAAGATAATATGTCAAATTTATAAATGGCTTTCCTTTAAAAATAAAGGCAAACATAGATCACTAGCCTATAATAATGGACCAAACACTTCCGATACTAAAACAAAGATTACCACAAGAGAACTCATTATCTAATTTAGAAAAAAGTCAAATTGCACACTTAGGTATTTTTATTAAAAACAGTTACAAGCCTAGTTGCAGAGATTTATTGTACATCTATGCACATTAAAGATATCACAACTACATAATGTCAATATGGACCATGATTATACCTAGAGGGATTATGCAATTATGATTTTACAGTAGCTTTTGCATAACGGAAAACCAATTCACAATTTATCAAGTAGAAAATAAGTTGCATAGAACCATATTGATCTTTAGGTATGGATCAGTCTTTATTTGCGTTGAACACAGCTCCGCCTACTGAATTTTTTTGCTTTTCAATTATATTTGTTGAGGAGGTACATTGATGCCTGAGAGTAGAAAGCTCACTTCCAAAACTCCATTAGTCTCCATATACATACTGGACTGTCCGTCTTCAGCTTCAATACCTGCACACAGGGATGTGCACATGCGCATGTTTGCACGCACAGACACCCCCTTCAAGATCATTGGGAGGGAGTGGACTCTTAGAATCACAGAAAAGCAGAACTGAAAGGGACCCTCAGAGGTTTCATAGTTTGTAGGGTCAGAAGGGACCTGAGCAGATCATCAAGTCCGACCCCCTGCCTTGGCAGGAAAAAGTACTGGGGTCAAATGACCCCAGCAAGGTGTACATCTAGCCTCCTCTTAAAGACCCCCCGGGGTAGGAGCCAGCACCACTTCGCTTGGAAGTTGGTTCCAAATCCTAGCCGCCCTGACCGTGAAGTAGCGCCTCCTGA